GGGCAAACGTACAAAATCAGCAGGGGATCAAATACTTTTTTCCCTCACTGTACATAAATCAATTCACAGCCAAGGGCACGAAAAACATCCGTCGATGGGAGGGAGAAAAAAAAAGAACCGAAGACGACAACGAATCATTGTGGCGTGTGTGTGTGTGTGTGTCGGTGAGCCAGGTCAACCGGTTTGCTGCCAGGGATTCTTCACCCAACGCCCACAAAGTTCACGTGCCGAGAGTTCGCCCAGCCGGCTACGGTGGTGAGGAAGCCGCCAGCCTGAGCCACCGCCCGTGCCCCCCCCCCCCCCCCCCCCCCGCAAATTAGCACCACCATTTAGCACGGTCGGCTACTACGGAACGAATGAAGTTCGTACGTACGCCACACGATACACTAGATACTACACACTACTGTACACTACACTACTGTACACTACTATACACTGCCCTTCTATACACTACACAATATACACTACAATACACTGCACTATCCACTAATAAACACTACATACTACAACGCACTATCCACTCATATACACTACATACTACAACACACTATAATATACACTACACTGCACTATCCACTAATATACACTGCACTATCCACTAATAAACACTACATACTACAACGCACTATCCACTAATATACACTACATACTATAATATACGCGACACTGCACTATCCACTAATATACACTGCACTATCCACTAATATACACGACATACTATGATACACTATATACTATGACACACTATATACGAAAATACACTACACACTACTATGCACTACACTATCCACTATTATACATGACAATGTACACTACACACAACAAACGATTAGCACGGTTGGTTACATATGGTGCGAAAGAAGTTCAACATACGCACACACTACACTACTATACACTACTGTACACTATACACTACTATACACGGCACTGTACACTAATATACTACACACAACCTCCAATTAGCATGGCTGGCTGCATATGGTGCCAAATAAGTTCAACATCCATCCACACACAAAGAGTCAGACTCATATTTAGAACTGCTTTGTGTTTAGTTTGTTGTCCTTCCCCCCACCCCCCCACACCTCCGATTAACCATGGTTGGCTACGCATGGTAGTTGAAAGAGTTTAGTGGCACCTGAGCCAGTTCACGTCCCGATTGGAGGAGAAAAACACAGCCATGGACTGGAGCACAGCCGTCGGGATGGGGAATGGCACACAAGGGGACTCTTACTAACATTCGACTTACAAACTTTCAGAGATAACGAACATACCCGATCCGTATGTCCGGTTGCCTGTTCGGACCAAGAGTCGTAAATTCAACCAACGCACAATTCATGGCGGTGGTGGCATCTACATCTACAGAACGTGAAGAACCAGTGGCATCTACATCTAACATGAAGAACCAGTGGCATCTACATCTGCAGAACGTGAAGAACCAGTGGCATCTACATCTGTATAACGTGAAGAACCAGTGGCATCTACATCTACAGAACGTGAAGAACCAGTGGCATCTACATCTGTATAACGTGAAGAACCAGTGGCATCTACATCTACAGAACATGAAGAACCAGTGGCATCTACATCTGTATAACGTGAAGAACCAGTGGCATCTACATCTGTATAACGTGAAGAACCAGTGGCATCTACATCTACAGAACGTGAAGAACCAGTGGCATCTACATCTGCAGAACGTGAAGAACCAGTGGCATCTACATCTGTATAACGTGAAGAACCAGTGGCATCTACATCTGCAGAGCATTAAGAACCAGTGGCATCTACATCTGCAGAGCGTGAAGAACCAGTGGCATCTACATCTGTAGAATATGAAGAACCAGTGGCATCTACATCTGCAGAACGTGAAGAACCAGTGGCATCTACATCTGTAGAATATGAAGAACCAGTGGCATCTACATCTGTAAAACGTGAAGAACCAGTGGCATCTACATCTGTAAAACGTGAAGAACCAGTGGCATCTACATCTGCAGAACGTGAAGAAGCAGTGGCATCTACATCTGTATAACGTGAAGAACCAGTGGCATCCACATCTGCAGAACATGAAGAACCAGTGGCATTTACATCTGCAGAACGTGAAGAACCAGTGGCATCTACATCTGTGTAACGTGAAGAACCAGTGGCATCTACATCTGCAGAACGTGAAGAACCAGTGGCATCTACATCTGTATAACGTGAAGAACCAGTGGCATCTACATCTGTGTAACATGAAGAACCAGTGGCATCTACATCTGCAGAACATGAAGAACCAGTGGCATCTACATCTGCAGAACATGAAGAACCAGTGGCATCTACATCTGCAGAACGTGAAGAACCAGTGGCATCTACATCTGCAGAACGTGAAGAACCAGTGGCATCTACATCTGCAGAACGTGAAGAACCAGTGGCATCTACATCTGTGTAACGTGAAGAACCAGTGGCATCTACATCTTCAGAGCATTAAGAACCAGTGGTATCTACATCTGCAGAACGTGAAGAACCAGTGGCATCTACATCTGTATAACGTGAAGAACCAGTGGCATCCACATCTGCAGAACATGAAGAACCAGTGGCATCTACATCTGCAGAACGTGAAGAACCAGTGGCATCTACATCTGTGTAACGTGAAGAACCAGTGGCATATACATCTGTATAACGTGAAGAACCAGTGGCATCTACATCTGTGTAACGTGAAGAACCAGTGGCATCTACATCTACAGAACGTGAAGAACCAGTGGCATCTACATCTGCAGAACGTGAAGAACCAGTGGCATCTACATCTGTATAACGTGAAGAACCAGTGGCATCTACATCTGTGTAACGTGATGAACCAGTGGCATCTACATCTGCAGAACGTGAAGAACCAGTGGCATCTACATCTGCAGAACGTGAAGAACCAGTGGCATCTACATCTGTATAACTTGAAGAACCAGTGGCATCTACATCTACAGAACATGAAGAACCAGTGGCATCTACATATGCAGAACATGAAGAACCAGTGGCATCTACATCTGCAGAACATGAAGACCAGTGGCATCTACATCTGCAGAACGTGAAGAACCAGTGGCATCTACATCTGCAGAACGTGAAGAACCAGTGGCATCTACATCTACAGAACGTGAAGAACCAGTGGCATCTACATCTGCAGAACGTGAAGAACCAGTGGCATCTACATCTGTATAACGTGACGAACCAGTGGCATCTACATCTGCAGAGCATTAAGAACCAGTGGCATCTACATCTGCAGAGCGTGAAGAACCAGTGGCATCTACATCTGTAGAATATGAAGAACCAGTGGCATCTACATCTGCAGAACGTGAAGAACCAGTGGCATCTACATCTGTAGAATATGAAGAACCAGTGGCATCTACATCTGTAAAACGTGAAGAACCAGTGGCATCTACATCTGTAAAACGTGAAGAACCAGTGGCATCTACATCTGCAGAAGGTGAAGAAGCAGTGGCATCTACATCTGTATAACGTGAAGAACCAGTGGCATCTACATCTGTGTAACATGAAGAACCAGTGGCATCTACATCTGCAGAACATGAAGAACCAGTGGCATCTACATCTGCAGAACATGAAGAACCAGTGGCATCTACATCTGCAGAACGTGAAGAACCAGTGGCATCTACATCTGCAGAACGTGAAGAACCAGTGGCATTTACATCTGTATAACGTGAAGAACCAGTGGCATCTACATCTGTGTAACGTGAAGAACCAGTGGCATCTACATCTTCAGAGCATTAAGAACCAGTGGTATCTACATCTGCAGAACGTGAAGAACCAGTGGCATCTACATCTGTGTAACGTGAAGAACCAGTGGCATCTACATCTGTGTAACGTGAAGAACCAGTGGCATCTACATCTACAGAACGTGAAGAACCAGTGGCATCTACATCTGCAGAACGTGAAGAACCAGTGGCATCTACATCTGTATAACGTGAAGAACCAGTGGCATCTACATCTGTGTAACGTGATGAACCAGTGGCATCTACATCTGCAGAACGTGAAGAACCAGTGGCATCTACATCTGCAGAACGTGAAGAACCAGTGGCATCTACATCTGTATAACTTGAAGAACCAGTGGCATCTACATCTACAGAACATGAAGAACCAGTGGCATCTACATATGCAGAACATGAAGAACCAGTGGCATCTACATCTGCAGAACATGAAGACCAGTGGCATCTACATCTGCAGAACGTGAAGAACCAGTGGCATTTACATCTGTATAACGTGAAGAACCAGTGGCATCTACATCTGCAGAACGTGAAGAACCAGTGGCATCTACATCTGTGTAACGTGAAGAACCAGTGGCATCTACATCTACAGAACGTGAAGAACCAGTGGCATCTACATCTGCAGAATGTGAAGAAACAGTGACATCTATTCTAGATTTAAAGCTTTCGTGACTGCTAGGATCCATACTCTTTGGTTCTATTGGGTAAAGTCACGTAGGTGAAAATAAAATAACAAAAAATCACGACGTTTCGGCCACAACACAAGCGGCCTTCATCAGGTGAAGGGACGAGACTGTCAGCGCTGTCCTCCAGACAGTTTCGTCCCTTCACCTGATGAAGGCCGCTTGTGTTGTGGCCGAAACGTCGTGATTTTTTGTTATTTTATGTTCACCTTCGTGACTTTACCCAATAGAACCAAAGAGTGGCATCTATATCTGCATAATGTGAAGAACCAGTGGCATCTACATTGAACCCACGACCTCCTGTACACCAAGCGAGGAAGTCAACATCTCCTAGCCACCGTGATGATGATGAGACATGCAAACTACAAATATACAGCAGGCATCGTCAAGGTCGGAATCGAACCCACGACCTCCTGTGTACCAGGCGAGGTAGTTAACATCTCATAGCCACCGCGGCGCCCCAAAGTGGTGGTGACCCCTTGTCCATTGCAGGGGTCATAGGTCGCCAGAGGTCATGGAGAGAGGAAGGCCCCCCCCCCACGTCCCCCCTGCTCCACCCCCCCTCCCCGTCTCTCCGGCTCACCTCATCGTCGCCACCGCCGTCATTGCTGCTGCTCGTCGGCTTCCCGTTGTCTCTCCTCGGCTCCTTCCCCATGGCACTCGCTCTGGGAGGAGGAGGGGGAGGAGGAGGAGGTGGCGGTGGTCGGCTACGTCCCCACTGGCACCACGCACGTGTGTGTGTGCGCGCGCGTGCGCGTCACCTGGTAGGATGGAACAACAGATGAGCATCGGTGTCAGTCATCAACAGCATCATCAGCATCATCATCAGCAGCAGTATCAGCAGCAGTATCAGCAGCAGTATCAGCAGCAGTATAAGCAGCATAATCATCAGCAGCAGCATAATCATCAGCAGCAGCATCAGAAGCATCATCATCATCAGCAGCATCATCAGTAGTATCAGTAGCAGCATTATTATCATCATCATAATCAGCAGCATTATCATCGTAATCAGCAGCATTATTTTCAACAAGAGCAGTATCAGCAGCAGCATCATTATCATCATCAGCAGCATCATTATCATCATCAGTAGCAGTATCAGCAGCAGCATCATCATCATCAGCAGCAGCATCAGCATCATCATCATCAGCAGCAACATCAGCAGCAGTATCACCAGCATCATCATCATCATCATCAGCAACAACATCATCATCATCAGCAGCATCATCATCATCAGTATCAGCAGCATCATCACCAGCATCATCATCAGCAGCATAGGGTATAGGATCGGATAGGGCAGGGGTCCCCAATCCCCGGGCCGTGGACCGGTACCGGTCCGTGGCCTTGTTAGGAACCGGGCCGCACAGTAGCAGGAGGTGAGAGCGGTGAGTCAGCACGTGTGGCCCGCCCACATTGTTTTATTATTCACCGCTTCCGCCAGCGCCTCTTTCCCGCACTGCGCACTCAGTCTCAGTGTTGGTATAAAGCCCACAAGCTCTAACCCCTAGTAGCCAACATGAGTAAAAAAACAAACGTCGCTGGAGAGCTTCTTTGAGAAGGGGGAAAGACTCAACGATGAACCCCCGCCTCCCCGATCCGTGAAAAAAATTGTCTTCCACGAAACCGGTCTCTGGTGCCAAAAAGGTTGTGGAGCGCTGGGATAGGGTATAGGATGTACCGATTAGGGTGTTGTGAATGCGCAGTAGGGGGTAGGATCAATACCAACGTCGTTTATGGGGCAATATGATTTTAAGGGCTGTGAAACAAGCCCAGTTGGAGCACGGAGGGCGAAGTTCAATCACCACGCATCGCACTGTAAGCACAGGACCTAGAGATACACAGAGACCCATAGAGTTACACAGAGACCCATAGAGTTACACAGAGACCCATAGAGTTACACAGAGACCCATAGAGTTACACAGAGACCCATAGAGCTACACAGAGACCCATAGAGCTACACAGAGACCCACAGAGCTACACAGAGACCCATAGAGTTACATAGAGACCCATAGAGTTACACAGAGACCCATAGAGTTACACAGAGACCCATAGAGTTACACAGAGACCCATAGAATTACACAGAGACCCATAGAGTTACACAGACCCATAGAGTTACACAGAGACCCATAGAGTTACACAGTGACCCATAGAGTTACACAGAGACCCATAGAGTTACAGAGAGACCCATAGAGTTACACAGAGACCCATAGAGTTACACAGACCCATAGAGTTTAACAGAGACCCATAGAGTTACACAGAGACCCATAGAGTTACACAGAGACCCATAGAGTTACACAGAGACCCATAGAGTTACACAGAGACCCATAGAGTTACACAGAGACCCATAGAGTTACTCAGAGACCCATAGAGTTACACAGAGACCCATAGAGTTACACAGAGACCCATAGAGTTACACAGAGACCCACAGAGTTACACAGAGACCCATATAGTTACACAGAGACCCATAGCGTTACACAGAGACCCATAGAGTTACACAGAGACCCATAGAGTTACACAGAGACCCTTAGAGTTACACAGAGACCCATAGAGTTGCACAGAGACCCATTGAGCTACACAGAGACCCAATAGAGTTATACAGAGACCCATAGAGCTACACAGAGACTCAGAGTTACATAGAGACCCACAGAGTTACACAGAGACCCTTAGAGTTACACAGAGACCCATGGAGTTACACAGAGACCCTTAGAGTTACGCAGAGACCCATAGAGTTACGCAGAGACCCATAGAGTTACACAGAGACCTGTACAGAGACCCATATACAGTGAGGGAAAAAAAGTATTTGATCCCCTGCTGATTTTGTACGTTTGCCCACTGACAAAGAAAGGATCAGTCTATAATTTGAATGGTAGGTTTATTTGAACATTGAGAGACAGAATAATAACAAAAATCCAGAAAAACGCATGTCAAAAATGTTATAAATTGATTTGCATTTTAATGAGGGAAATAAGTATTTGACCCCCTCTCAATTAGAAAGATTTCTGGCTCCCAGGTGTCTTTTATACAGGTAACGAGCTGAGATTAGGAGCACACTTTTAAAGGAAGTGCTCCTAATCTCAGTTTGTTACCTGTATAAAAGACACCTGTCCACAGAATCAATCAATCAATCAGATTCCAAACTCTCCACCATGGCCAAGACCAAAGAGCTCTCCAAGGATGTCAGGGACAAGATTGTAGAGCTACACAAGGCTGGAATGGGCTACAAGACCATTGCCAAGCAGTTTGGTGAGAAGGTGACAACAGTTAATACGATTATTCGCAAATGGAAGAAGCACAAAAGAACTGTCAATCTCCCTCGGCCTGGGGCTCCATGCAAGATCTCACCTCGTGGAGTTGCAATGATCATGAGAACGGTGAGGAATCAGCCCAGAACTACACGGGAGGATCTTGACAATGATCTCATGGCAGCTGGGACCATAGTCACCAAGAAAACAATTGGCAACACTACGCCGTGAAGGACTGAAATCCTGCAGTGCCCGCAAGGTCCCCCTGCTCAAGAAAGCACATATACATGCCCGTCTGAAGTTTGACAATGAACATCTGAATGATTCAGAGGACAACTGGGTGAAAGTGTTGTGGTCAGATGAGACCAAAATGGAGCTCTTTGGCATCAGCTCAACTCGCCGTGTTTGGAGGAGGAGGAATGCTGCCTATGACCACAAACACCATCCCCACAGTCAAACATGGAGGTGGAAACATTATGCTTTGGGGGTGTTTTTCTGCTAAGGGGACAGGACAACTTCACCGCATCAAAGGGACAATGGATGGGGCCATGTACCGTCAAATCTTGGGTGAGAACCTCCTTCCCTCAGCCAGGGCATTGAAAATGGGTCGTGGATGAGTATTCCAGCATGACAATGACCCAAACACAAGACAACAAAGGAGTGGCACAAGAAGAAGCACATTAAGGTCCTGGAGTGGCCTAGCCAGTCTCCAGACCTTAATCCCATAGAAAATCTGAGGGAGCTGAAGGTTCGAGTTGCCAAACGTCAGCCTCGAAACCTTAATGACTTGGAGAAGATCTGCAAAGAGGAGTGGGACAAAATCCCTCCTGAGATGTGTGCAAACCTGGTGGCCAATTACAAGAAACGTCTGACCTCTGTGATTGCCAACAAGGGTTTTGCCACCAAGTACTAAGTCATGTTTTGCAAAGGGGTCAAATACTTATTTCCGTCATTAAAATGCAAATTAATTTATAAAATTTTTGACGTGCGTTTTTTTGGATTTTGTGGTTCTTATTCTGCCTCTCACTGTTCAAATAAACCTACCATTAAAATTATAGACTGATCATTTCTTTGTCAGCGGGCAAACGTACAAAAGCAGCAGGGGATCAAACACTTTTTTTCCCTCACTGTAGTTACACAGAGACCTGTGGAGACATGCCGAGGGGTCCCCCACAGACTTCAACTCCTAAATTATGTTTTTTTGTTATTTTAGCAGGTAAGGCCCCTTTGAGCTATATAGCTATTTTTTTTTCTATAGCAGCCACAGATAGTCCTGAACGCAGGTCGGTTCTGAATGTGGAGGGAGACAAACGCTAAGAAGCCGTACCCCCCCCTCCCGGCTCACCCGTGGGCTCATCGCCATCTGCTTACATCTATACATGAAATAAGTAATATTTGAAAACACTTTTTTTTTTTAAAACACGCTTTAATAAAATGTACCGTCCTAGCAATGGAACAACTCCACCACGACTCCAGGAAGTGGCCCTGAAGCTCGCCACGACCTAAGGGGCCGTGGTCATTTACAGCCAACGTCAGTTTACCGCGGACAATTAGAGCCAAGCCGAAACATAAGATATAAAAAATTATGTTTAGAATTTTTTAAATATAATTTTTTAATGATAGAATATAGTTTTGTCATCAGTATGACATAAGTATGCCAAGTTAGCAGCCGATAACGCATTGGGAAGTGGGTCAAAATTGAGTTTGAAGATTTGAGGATGCAACAACAGAGAGAGTTAATATAAAAGAGTGTAATAAAAAAAAGGGAAATTTGTGAATGTGTCTCTGTTCGAAATGTTTAGCATACTTCCAAACATGCAAAATTTGGCTTATGGGAGCTTCCAGACTGTACACAATGCAAAAAGTATGAAAATAGACTTTTGCATTATTTTTTGGGAGGGGGTGGAGGCACAGTAATGGATATATTTTGCACGGCAAGTGAGTGGTGACGTCACATCTGTGATGTCATCCGCATGCGGCAGCGTCACGCAGTGTGCCTGCTGACGTCACGCACCCCCCCCCCCACCCTCCGCGTAGGCCGTGTATTAATCCAAGACAAGAATCCAAGTCTCGGGCGAAACCGGGTCGAGTAAAGCTCGTGTTTTATATAGGTGGCGCCCGTCACACACAGCACGCTCGCAAAAAAAATGGAACCGCCGCACGACACCTCGCTGCCGAGCTCGTCAAGGAGGCTACAAACCATCGCCATGCCGACTCCTCTCATCCTCGCAGCAGCAGCGGCGGCTACAAACCATCGCCATGCCGACTCCTCTCATCCTCGCAGCAGCAGCAGCAGCGGCTACAAACCATCGCCATGCCGACTCCTCTCATCCTCGCAGCAGCAGCGGCGGCGGCGGCTTTTGGCTCAACCGTCGAACAAAGGCGGTGCTGGTCACCTCATTGTCGCGCTGTCAGATGCTATATACACTACACTATACACTACACTATACACTACACTATACTATAGACTACACTATACACTACACTATACACACTATACACTACACTATACACTACACTCCACTATACTACACTATACACTGCACTATACACTACAATACACTCCACTATACACTACACTATGCACTCCACTATACTACACTATACTATACACTCCACTATACTACACTTTACACTACACTATACACTATTATACACTCCACTATACTACACTATACACTACTATACACTACACTTTACAATACTATGCACTACAATAAACTCCACTATGCTACACTATACATTACAATGCACTCCAATATACTATACTATACAGTATGCGACATTATACGCTACAAAATACACTGCCATACACGACACTATACACTACACTATACACGACTATACACTACACTATACACTACTATACACTACACTGTACACTACTATACACTACACTACACACTACACTGTACACTACTATACACTACACTACACACTACTATACACTACACTACTATACACTACACTATACACTACTATACACTACACACTACTATACACTACACACTACACTACTATACACTACTACACTATATACTACACACTACACTATACACTACACTATACACTACACACTACTATACACGACACTTTGCACGATACTTTTGTCTCAGCAATCGAACAAAGACGGTGGGCGAGGTCACCGCATCATCGCGCGACGTTTTCAGACGCGGCTGCTTCTGCAGCCGTCTGGAACGCTCTTCCCTTCCCGATATGAGGAATGGGGTAGGGTATAGGATGGGGATACGCGTGGCATTGTCTTTGTACTGTTCGACTTTTGGCATTGTTCGCTCATCCGACACTGGTGGTGAGACGAGCCCATGAAGAAGGCCGCTGTCTCTGGCGTCGGCCAATCAGTTTTAAAGACAATGCATAGCACTGTTATCACAGCCATGTTTGTTTTGCATGTTCGCTGCAAGAACCGTGTGCAGTTAATGCAGTCACACTTGATGCCTTGCAAAAGGTTTTCCTATTTGGTGTTTGAACATCGTAACAACAACTCCTGTTCCGTTTCCAGAAAGGGTTAAAAAAAACTATTTTTATTTTTCATATTTTTGTTGAGTAGCAGCGGGATGGCGTCATGGGATAGGTGTGATGACGTCACGTGACGGGGATTGTAAGGGGGTACACACCTTAAGGGGGACACCCCGTGACGTAACGGGGGTCCCGTTGTGGGAGCCCGGGCCAAGTGGCGGCTAAGAGGGGCCCCGCTGCTCTCACTCGGTCGGACGGAGCCGGCTGCACCCCCCCCGTTCCGACTCGGGCGAGACAGCGTGCCCCAAGGGAAATAGCCGAGGCTAGGGACCAGAGTAGAGGCGAGGTCCAAGGGAAGGGCCGAGTGCAGTGTCCACCTACCTCTGGTGCGCGAGTGTAGTGTGTTAATAACAGTGTTAATAAACCGGCGTAAGCCCTTACCTGAAACTCCCGAGTCTGCGTGGTTCTACACCTCAACACTTTGATACTGGCAAAAAAAAAAGGTCATTGCAAGTGGACTCTCGATTACCTGCGCCAATGACGGAAAGCACTGTCGCGGAAAATAAAAACTCGCGGATAATATGAAAATATAACCATCTTCCGCGGATCTCCATGCCAAAAAAAACCTCGCTTATAATTAGTACAAATAATATATTGATAATAAGTTTTTTTATCCTTTTTTCTGGCAACAAAACAGCTGTGTTGAGTTGTTAAAACTGAAACCTTTTACAAGGAATCATGTCTGCATTAACCACAATACTTGTGGTCAGAATGCAAACAAAGAGCACACTGATAATATGATGCATTTCGATTTTAAAGCTTTCGTGACTGCAGAGATTCATATTCTTGGTTCTTTCGGTAAAGGCTCGTAGAAGGGAAACAATACAATAATACAAAACAATACAATTCCCACGACGTTTCGATTGCGACACAAGCAATCATCATCAGGTGTGAAAACCACAGCAAGAAAAATTTTTAAAAGTGGTGGTTTTTAACCGCCACTTTTTTTTCAAATTTTCTTGCTGTGGTTTTCACACCTGATGATGATTGCTTGTGCTGCAGTCGAAACGTCGTGATACTTTTATTGTTTTATTTGTATTATTTTACTGTTTCCCTTCTACGTGACTTTACCGAAAGAACCAAGAATATGAATATATGCATTGTCTTTTAAACTGATTGGCCTCGTCTCAAACGGTGTTAGACCAGAGGATGCCAAAAGGCACACACAGCACAAAGACAATGCCACTATCAGAGTAATGAGAGCTCGGGGTGAGCAGCTACATCATGCCAGTACCAAAATATGATAATAGGGTTTTCCCCTTTTTTTATGGCAACAACTTAACACCTGTTTTGTGTTCTAGTCGTCCCGGCTTCGTAGATGAAAAAATCACAAAATAAAGTACAAGCACAACTGACGATTTCGATTGCTACCCTTTCGATATAGAGCGAACGCTAGTGATGGACCGACCGATCGATGCGCGTGCTCCGTGATGGTAACACTTCCCTTGCTCCCGCCCAGCAGAAGACTCCGGCCCACTGAGCGGATGACAACGGAGCCACAGCCAATCGACGTCAATCAAACTCCGCCACCCACCGTTGTGTCAAGATATTGCAACTACTGTACTGTAGAGGCGACCGCGTGGACTCTCGGATTAACCGGATGCAAGGCGATTTGCCCTGGTTGAAGCGCCGTGTGACTTGTCATAAACATTTCCAAGAATAATAATTATTTAGCGATAGTAGGTTTTTTTGGGTAAAATCACGTAAATATCTAAAAATGTCATTAAGCCCGCCACCACCCGACATAGCCAATTCGTAAAGGTTTGTCACGTTAACAGAACGTGGCCAATTCGTTACGAGTACAGCACACCGGTTGTGTTATGGAGAGTAAAGCCACAACAATTACAATTATAGCGTAGTGTATAGAGTCGTTACGAGTACAGCACACCGGTTGTGTTATGGAGAGTAAAGCCACAACAATTACAATTATAGCGTAGTGTATAGTGTCGTATGCTAGTTCAGCACACGGGTTGTGTTTTGGAGAGTAAAGCCACAACAATTACAATTATAGCGTAGTGTATAGTGTCGTTACTAGTACAACACACCGGTTGTGTTTTGGAGAGTAAAGCCACAACAATTACAATTATAGCGTAGTGTATAGTGTGGTTACTAGTACAGCACACCGGTTGTGTTTTGGAGAGTAAAGCCACAACAATTACAATTATAGCGTAGTGTATAGTGTGGTTACTAGTACAGCACACCGGTTGTGTTGGAGAGTAAAGCGACAACAATTACAATTATAGCGTAGTGTATAGTGTCGTATGCTAGTTCAGCACACCGGTTGTCTTTTGGAGAGTAAAGCCACAACAATTACAATTATAGCGTAGTGTATAGTGTCGTTACTAGTACAGCACACTGCTTGTGTTTTGGAAAGTAAAGCCCCAACAATTACAATTATAGCGTAGTGTATAGTGTCGTTACTAGTACAGCACACCGGTTGTGTTGGAGAGTAAAGCGACAACAATTACAATTATAGCGTAGTGTATAGTGTCGTATGCTAGTTCAGCACACCGGTTGTGTTTTGGAGAGTAAAGCCACAACAATTACAATTATAGCGTAGTGTATAGTGTCGTTACTAGTACAGCATAGCGTAGTTATATTGTCGTCACTAGTACAGCACACCGGTTGTGTTTTGGAGAGTAAAGCCACAACAATTACAATCTGAGTTAGACAGTAATTCCAACTAGCTTCATCAGGCGACAGCCAGATTGTTCATGTGGGCTTCAAGGAAAATTCCGGAGTTATAATTAATAAATAAAAATCTCAGATGCGCAGTTAATCCGCACGCAAGATAAACCACACGCGGATAAATATCGTGATTCTACCGCAGATTATTATTGCAAAAAAAGACAAAGATCCCCCGTATATCCTCAGCAGACTGTTGGGGCAAGCGCCGTCAGCGAGCACCTACGAAGGCCAGCATTGTGGCACACGAGATGGTGGGTGGACTACACCACGCCCGACCGCCTTTGTCTCCCCAGTGGCGATGTTTACTACACACCGCTATACCAGGTACTCATTTGAGGCCGAGACGATCTAGGGGAGGCGCAGAACCGGTTCAGATAATCGTCACTGGGTGGTGGTGGCCGTGAGCGGGAATCGAACCCCGGGTCGCTACTGCACCACCGCTCCCCGAGGAACTCCTGGACGCACACAACGATAAGATGCCTTCCCGGAAAAGCACGCGCATCTGAAAAAAAAAAACCACATCGTCCTCCATCAACGGCAATTTTCCCACGAGAAACAAAAACGGCAAACGATGGATTTGAGGGGTTGCGTGATTTCACTCTCAAAACCTCGCAGGGAGGGATCACATCCTCGAACGTGTCCATAGGGCCCCCCCCGCCCCCCCCCCCCCCCCCCCCACCTACCATTGCCAGGGACTCTCCCCTTCCGTCCCTCCCTACCGCTCGTGTTCCTCACCGTGCC